CTTTTCCACTGTGTGGAAGTCTTCAAGATCATCCCGGGAAAGGGCATGGTAATGAAAAGCATGGTTCTAAGAAGCAGGCTGTCCGAGTAGATAGAAGATGGAGAACCTTTCGGAGAAGTGAAGTGTTTCTTGTGACACTGACTGTTGTCAAACACATCTTTGCCGCCAGGCTTGTGTTTTCTTCCTTCGGTCGTTTTTACCCTTGCAGGCTTTCTAAGATTCCCAAACTCCACGGAAATGTTTCCCCTTTAGCTAATATATGAAATTATGCACATAGATTTTATTTTCTCAGTTGCCAGATACATGTGTAAGCCACACTGCTAGTAGGCGTGCATTCTAAATGAGATAAAGGCTACACTTTTCCTGTATAAATTATATGTAATGTGTTTTATATACTGTGTTGTGTTCTACAAACCCGGGAAATTCTGGGACCTAGGGGTGCATAGCCACAGCAAATGTAAAAGATGGGACCACATCATTGGGCTCCCAGAGGGCTCTCCCACTTCCTCTCTTCCCTTGGCACACACAGGGGCATGAAATCTTTGCAGCAATCATGTGGGACCCAAGGTCAGCGCAGAAACCAAGGTATACCCTGTGGTCCTTAGGGCGCCATCGAGGTCTGAATAACAAACATCTCTCTCCCAGGCTCTGCAAGGACCCCGACCTTGATTCTGCCAACTTGGGACGCTCCTAGAACTTTGAATCGGCTCATGTGATTTTTATATGTTGGGAATTGGTCTGGGATCTTCTACTGCATGCGTGTCTTGTTTGGGGATCCCAGTAGGGATGGTAGCTCATTCTTTGTCACATTTATTTGTGTCCTTACCTGCTAGTAAAGAGCTTGTGCCGTTCACACTTTTGGATTTATATTGAGCAGTGTAATTCTCGCAATCTGTTCTCCCTCTGTTCTGTCTGGGTCCTGAGATAGAGCCAACCCACAAGCAAGTGGCCACAGTTGTGTTATTTCTGTCTAAATCAGGAGGTTTTTAACATGCCAGCATAATGTATGACAATAGCAGAGGTTTTTTTTTTTTTTTATCATGTTTTGAGTTTTCCTTCTTGATTTCAATGGGATCTAAGACCTTGTAATATAGTGATATCAAAATTTGCCAAGTATTTTCTATCACAGAAATCTTTTTATTAATATCATTAAGATTTTGTTCAAGGTTTTTTAGCAATACTTGTGAGAGCCGTGTTCTCCTTCCTGTGGTGGTTGAATGAGAAAGGCCCTCATAGGCTCATATGTTTGAACACTTGGTCCCAAGTTGGTGAAAGTGTTTGGAAGGTTTAGGAGCTGTGGCTTTGTTAGAGGGGATATGTTACTTGGGTCAGGGGACGGAGGCTTTCAAAAAGCCCACTCCATTCCCAGATAGCTCTCTCTGCTTTGGGATTGTGTCTCAAGATGTGAGCCCTCAGCTACTGCTCCAGTGCCCAACTGCCTCACTGGTGCCGTGCTCCCTGACATGATGGTCATGGACTCTAACCATCTGGAGCTGTGAACCACAGATTCTTATGTAAACTGCCTTGGTCATTGTATCATATCATAACATTATAAAAGTAGCAGGACAACTCCCTTGTCACGTTTCAGAGTGAAGAACAAGCTGTGGGTCACTGTCTTTTCTTAGTAATATTAATGCAAGATGAACAGTGGCTCTGGGTTTTTTTAAGAATTCACAGAAGAACCTAGATTTGGTATTCTTTTTCACTTTATGTGTATGGATGTTTTGCTTTTACATGTCTGTGTACCACTTGCATGCAATTTGTGTGGAGGCCAGAAGAGGACACTGAACCCCCTGAAACCGGATTTACAGACAGTTGTGAGCTGCCATGTGGGTGTTGGGAAGCTGAACCCTAGGTCCTTGGAAGAACAGTCGGTGCTCTTAACCACTGAGCCATCTCTCCATCACCGTCACTTCTTTAATTTTTAAGAAGAATGTGAAACTAGTAAGGTTTTGTATTTCTTCATCTGTTTGGTAAATTGTTGAATTCCTTCTCTGAATTCTCCATTTCTTGCGGATAGTCTAGCCTGTATGGTATAGTTCAAAGCATCCATCTGTTAGTTTGTTGGCATGAATGATGTCACCACACGTTCTTGACATGTGTGCCTTTTGCCAACTGTATCTTTCCCTTCCCTCCTTGCCAAATCTCCCCAGCTATCAGTCCAGGTTTTTCCTTAAAATGACAGTGATTGTTGATTTTTTTTTTTCTCTTTGCTGTTCCTCTGTTTTCCTTCTAATTTTAATTTGTTTTTTGCTTGCTTGCTTGCATGGTTTATTTATTATTTTGTGGTCAGATCTCACTTTTTATCTCAAGCTGGTCTAGAATTCCAGAATACTACCCATTCTCCTGCCTTAGCTTCTCAGGTGCTGGGACTATAGAGATTTGTACCACACCAATGTAGAAACAGCCATATAGGTAAGGGTGTGTGTGTGTGTTGTTCATTTTGCTTTTCAGTGCTAATTAACACAGCTGTCCTTTATATCAGCAAACACTTCAGCACTGAGCTATATCTTCATTCACAGTCTTGTATCCCTAAACCTCTACCTACTTGAGATAAATGCTTATTATTGATTTTCTTTCTTGTTGATATAGTTAACATATACCCCTAAGGATTTAGTGGCAGCCTATACATTTAGAGATGTCATAATTTAAGCTTAAGATAAGTTTTCCTCATATAAAACAATACATGCTCAGTACTCTAAACATGGAGGTCAGATGGGCACAGCAAAAACCGAGCAGTGTGGACTCACCTCACCACAGGGGACTTGGCAGGCCTGGGTTAACAGTGATTTTTTTTTTTAATTTCTTTTCAATAGCACACATACATTTATTTGAAAAATTATAGTAACTACATCATTTGAGAGCTGTTTTGCTAATACCACCTTTTAAATTTAGTACTTTATAGTATTTTTAAAATAGCAGATCAATACTGCAATTGTTCTTTTGTTTCTGCCTTTGGTTTTGTTTTGTTTTTTTTGAGACAAGGTTTCTCTGTGTGTAGCCTTGGCTGTGCTGGACTCACTTTGTAGGCCAGGCGGGGCTTGAACTCAGAGATCCTCCTGCCTCTATGTCCCCAAGTTCTGGGATTAAAGACATGCAACACAATGCCTGGCTTATGGTATGACTACTTGAAAAAGAAAGGAACCGCAGAGAACAAAGTTGGCAATTAACTTAGTCCTGAAGGAGGCTTCCACAGGGGAGGTACCCACAAATAGCCCAGAGATAACTGAGGAGTCGGGCCTTCCTCCAGGTGGCCTTCCTCCGAGGTAAAATATCAGTGAATTCTGTTCTCCAAAATTAATGACATTAAATATTTTTAGGACACCAGTAAGAATACTTTGGGCACATGAATATTTAATGGTCAGAATTCAAAGATACTTGGAATCAGCATTGGTTTGTCTGTCAAACTTAGCAGGCCCCTAGTTTCAATTCATACTTGCAAATGAGATGAAAAAGTACTAGATTCGGGGCTGGAGAGATGGCTCAGAGATTAAGAGCACTGTCTGCTCTCCCAGAGGTCCTGAGTTCAATTCCCAGCACCCACATGGTGGCTCACAGCCATCTATAGTGAGATCTGGCGCCCTCTTCTGGCCTGCAGGTGTCCATGCATCGGAACATTGTATGCATAATAAAGAAATAAATCTTTAAGAAAGTACTAGAGTCAAAAGTATACCAGTTATTAAGGAAAGCAATTTGTGAGCTAGACCGTAATCTAATGTCACGGTCTTATGAGGGATAGTTTTGGTCTCTTGTCAAGTTCGAGGTAGCAGTAGGTTTCATAGATACACTTGCTAAGCGCATCAGGAGAAAACTGAGAGCTCTCATTCAAAAACAGCTGTGGAATTGCTCACCATTCCCACAACAGTGTAATTCCACAGTGACACAAAGCTGAGGGCTGATGCATGTCAGGTGAGAGAGACAAGGGTTCATGCTCACTAAAAGGCATATCTTGTGTATTTTCAAGGTGGATTCAGCGTGCTGTAACTGCTTAAGCATCTCAGTGGGAGTTAGCGGTATGGAAGGACTCTAGTATGCAGATGGAGAAGGGACCCTGCCAGGTAGTTTTCTGTGGGGTCAGCAAGCAGCACTTTAGTTAATCCAGGTTTCTCAAGAGTGCACAACTCAGAAATCTCAAACGAGAACTTCCTAAAAATCAGAATTATCTGAAAACCAAAGCACAGGCCAGCTTTGCAGTTGTAGGTCCATTCAAGGAGGGCCCAGAGTTACCTGTGATGGGAAGGAGGCGTTGTACCTTTGGCCTGTGTACCCCGGGACCTTCAAAAGTGTGAATGCATGAGTGATGGAGGGCAGGATTTTGTGTTACATTGTTCAGTTTCCTTATGTGCTCTCAAGGCTCTCTGCATACACTGAGTCTGCCCTATGCTGTCCAGCCTTGCGTATGTTAATGACAATACACACGCTCCCAGCTGACCCCAGGTGCGGTATTTCTTCCCCTGCCAATCAATCTGTGAAGGGCTGTGTCGGCGGCTCCTGAGATAGTGCTGTGTGTCTCAGGGGTGGGTTGCTCAGTGCCTGCAGTCAACTCTAAATGTCTACAGCATACACATTCTGAAAGCAGATGGCTAGAGACACACTGGAGACTGGAGCAAGAGCTCAGATTTAAAGCCAGCCTGGTCTGGGCTGTATAGGAAGCTCCTAGCTCAAGAAAAATAAGTAACTAAAAATAGTTCCTAAGCTTTTATTCCAGGGCCATGGGAGATTAAATTTTGTACCAATAAAACAACAATTATATCCCTAAAAAACCACATTAGCTGTCCTGATTGTAACAGCTGTGTGCATATCCGTGCAAAGCAGGAGTGGTCAAGCCAAGCTTCAGGTGGTATGACTTGGGGTAAAACGGAGAATCCCTCAAATAAATTGTTGAAGTTCCTCTTAAACAGTAAAACTATAAGAACCCTGATGGAGAGTGTATTTAGTCAAGTGTGGCTGTTACGGCTCTAGCATCCTAAAAATTAGTGTATTTGAATTTTTTTAAACAGATGTGGATCTTCATGATCAACCAAAAAGAAGACGAATTAGAAAGCGCAAATCAAAGAAAAAAATTAAAAACCCCAATGATGTTATTCTAAAGCAAGCAGAATTAGAGCAACAGCCAGGGCTCTTCCAAGAGAAGGTGCACCCCCAGCATACAGATGCCCCCACAATGAGCAAAAATAAAAGAAAGAAGCTGAAAAAGAAGCTGCAGCTTAGGAGGAAGAAAGCAGCTGGCTTAGTCGTGAAGGCCTCTGGGGTCGCTTTCACGTACCAGCCCGAGAGCCCCGGGGAGGCAGGTGTGGATGGTGCTGCAGAAGAAGAGGAAGGAGATGATCAAGAGAGCGCAGGTGCAGACACCACCCAGGAAGACGCTGAACTTGCCAACAGCAAGGCAGACAATGTCTTGAGTTTTCTGAAGTCAACACAAGAAATTTATTTTTATGATGGTAAGTGTCTCTAGCCCTGTTTTCCTTTGAATAATGGAAGCATCTACTTAGTGTTTGGAAAAATAACCATTGTAGTAAAATACTTAAATTGTTATGGTATAAAACATTTTAAAGTCTTAGTTATTTTCTCATCGCTCTGATAAAATACCTGAGAAAAACAGCATAAGGAGGAAAGGGCTTATTGGGTTTTACTGTACGTATTATTTAAAATATACTGAAGAAAGTTCACTGTGGTGGAATCCAACCCAGTCCACAATGGACTTGCACAGAGGCCCATCTCATGGGTGGTTCCAGCTGACAATTGGGAATAACCATCACAGTATTCCAAGTAAATACTAAGTGTCAAATCAAAACCCAGAATATCACAGTTTTCTCTAGCATGTGGCTATATTAGCCCACAGAGCCTACATGTTATTCTCCTGTACCTTGTGGGAAATAACACCCAGTGAAGCTGGGACTCTGGCTGTGAAGCCAGGGCTCCCGCCATGAAGTTGGGGCTCCAAGTATGGACTGGGCTCACGATCTTCTCTAAAGTCAGATTCTGGGTTATGTTGGCGCTTAAGGCTATGTTTCTAAATGAAGCTTGATCCAGCTGGCAGCTTTGAATGGCTGCTCATTTTTTAAATCTGCTAGAGAAGTAAAAGAGCCGCAGCTCTCTCCTTGAGGCTTACTTACTTGTATTTTTCATATGTAACTTACTGGTTAGAGGCTTCAGTAAGCATTTTTAATTATGTATATTTATAAGGGATCTGAGAAAATAAAGATTTATTCTTGTGGCTGACAATTGTTCATTTTCATAATGTTTTATTAGCAACTGACCAGAAAGAGCAAGGTCCAGTCAGGATCCACCACGACCACAGTGAGAACAAGATGTGGTTTCAGTGCGCTCTCCCGCTTGGATGACACCGCTGGGGGAAGCGAGGGGAAGGTCTTGGGCTTAGTAGTTGCACATTTCAGCCAGAGAGTAAATGTTCTTACTACTGAGACGTGTGTAAGAAAGTGAGAAACAACTGTTTAAACACTAATGTCAAACTGGTACTATGATTTGGAGGTGAAGTGCTCCCGACACAGCAAAAGCTCTAACACACCAGTGACTGCAGTGCAGGAAGAGGCCAGACAGAGCAGGAGCTGTTTCTAGAGATGATGCTGAGCTTTTCAAAGCGTTAAAGGATATAACATACTCCAGCAGGCCTGTCAAGAAAAGCATTTAATTAGGGCTGGCTTATGGGTTCAGAGGTTTACTCCATTGTCATGGTGGGAAGCCTGGCGACATGCAGGCAGACATGGTGCTGGAGTCACAGAGAGTTCTACATCAGCACAAGTGAGTGCCACAGTGGGCATGGCTTGAGAGTTTGATACTTTAAAGCCCACGCCCAGTGACACACTTCCTCCAACAAGGCCACACCTACTCCAGAAAGGCTCCATTTCATAATAGTGCTACTCTCTGGTGACCGAGCATCCAAATCTGTGAGCCTGTGGCAGCCATTTCTGTTCAAATCGCCACAGGAGCCATACAGCATCACATGGAAGCACCTTGTCAACCACAGAGAGCTGGTGACCAAGAAAACTGTCATGACCACCGTGCATACCACCGTGGGATTGTGTCCATTGCAAAAAGATTGAAACCATGACCAATACAGGGAACCAACACTAAGATCATCATGGTGTAAGTGAAACAAGCCAGACTCCAATGTACAGACACTGTCATTGTTTCTCTCATAATGGAAATATGTAGAAGAATTTGATCCAACAATATGGCCACTCTGGCAAGGGATCACATCCAAAGACCTAGGTCTGTGTGATCTGGCTAGAAATAGACATGCCCTTGTATACACCTTTAATCCTTCTGGCCGGGATACACATCTTTAATCCCTCTGGTGGGAATTTAGTAACAGCTTTAATCCTAAACAGTGACATCTAATTGAGGGACAGACAAAGTGACAACTCACAGAAAGATTTAAAAAAGTGAGTCAGAAAAGAATAGGCCCAGCGTTCATGAGAGCAGACAGGAAAGAAAAGAGCAGCAGAGAGACAGAGAGCAGGAGAGTTCATAGAGACAGTACAGTAGAGTTTGGGAATAAAGTACAGTTCCATGCATTTTGATTCATTTAAGTAGTTGAGTTCGTGCATTTCAGTTCATGCAGTTCATTTTTTTCGAAGCAGAGCAATTCAGTGAGAAGCAGAGAGAAGCCAATTTGAATTAGTCAGCTTGGAGAAGAATTTGAGCTTAGAACAGTTGAGTTGAACCAGCCAGCCAGTGTTCAAAAGAGCAAGAAAGGGAAAGTTTGTTCAGCAGTAAGTCTCAGAGACAGAAAAAAGTCTAGGCCTAGATCAGTACACAGAGGCTAGAAGCTGAAGCCTTCATGGTCAGGGCTTGCAGATTAGATTACAAGAAAGCTAGAAGCTTCCAAGCCTAAGAATCATTAGATGGAAACACTCTGAGCTCTGCTCAAGCCATATGTTCATGAAGCTTGGATATGGCTCTTATCTCATCCCCTCATCTAAGGAAATAAAAAACATTTACAGGAAAATAAATGTTAATTTACGTGTGTGTGTGTGTGTGTGTGTGTGTGTGTATGCGCGCACGCACGCACGTGTAGGACATAGAAGTAGAAAGGGGACCATAAGATGGAGGAAGTGATCCAATAAAGTGGAGAGAGAGGGACAACAGAGGGAGTGGAAAACATGTGACATGAAAGCAGAAGGAGGGACTGCTTAGGGAGCAGAAAGAGTGGTGATAGTGGCGAGCAAAGACAGTGGTGGGGCAGGAACCAGCTGTGTGTTGGAAAATGAAAACATCACAGTGAAATACAGTCTTTTGTATGCTAACTAAAAGTAATAAGTAAACAAATGAAAGTTAAAAAGGTCTTTAAAAGAAGAAAAGACCTATTATTTTTCCAAGACAGACACCTAGACCAGTGGACCTTCAGGAGAACAAACCAAGCTGGCCCCGAGCATAGGTTTTCTTGATTTTTGCTAAACACCTGAACTCTTACTATTGACGTTTTTAAAGACCCACAGCATGACTTTGAGCTTAGTTTCCTTGTCTGGCTTTTCCTGCTGTTGTCAATGACTCAGAGCATTGTGTTATGCTTGGAAGGTGTTTAAAAGGCCAGACACATACACAGGCCAGCTTTCCAGTGTCATTTGAATGGTGGCAATCTGTTGTTGTCCTTCTTCCAGGAGTTCTAGTCCAGTTCTGTCCTGGGGGCTTGTTATATTTCGCACACCTCGAGTGGAGTGTGTATTTGGGGACCCTTAAGGGAGTGGGAGTTGAAACTGAGACACTGGGTGACTTCTTTCAGATACGTCCAAAGACCTGGATCCAGCTGTGTGCGCAGAGAGTGCTGAAGAGCTGCTTCACGCCCTAGAGTCTGGGCGCTTGCCTCCTGCAGATGTGCTCATTCTGGATCACCTGAAATCCCTGCTGCTTCTGCAGGACACAGAGAGGCTGGAGAGCGCCCTGAAGATGTTCCCAGAGCATTGTCTGATGCCTCCAGGTAAGGGCCGCAGTGTCTACTCAAGGATTCCTCTGATCTGAGTGCAAAACAGTATGCATGAGACCTACAAGAACAGAACCTATAGAGAAAGGGGCCTCATGTGCTTCTGGTTATGATAAAAAGATGTCTCATAATATATACAAAAACATGTATGCCATCTAGTATTTGGCCTTTGGGTTATCAGTTTTGGGGGCCACTTGCCCTACTTTTAATTGGAAAGAAATCATTTTTTTCCTCTTTTCTTCTCTGCCAACTTGGTAGAGGGTAAAGTTTTCTGTCTCTCAGAGATCTGGTGCCTTATTAAAAACTCACCGTTGGAACAGTTAGGAAGAGGATTGAATTACTGTGGTGATCTTTCTGTTTTTCATTTCTCCGATCTTACTCGGTTACCCACTGTATACAAACTGTAGTCTGTGGGTATCAGGCCTGGTGCGTGGCCCTGTTGGGGCCCAAGGTTTGTTCAGAAGAGATGGAGGAGTATGAGGGGCAGTGGTCACCTAGATGGGGCTGAGGGGAGGAGAGAGGACAGAAGCTTCACTGTGACAGGTGAATGAGGAATCATAGGAGATATGAGCAGACATGACCTGCAAGAGGACAGGCCACAGAAAAACTGGGAGAAGAAACTGGAGGTGGCAGTGGAGCCAAAGCTCAAGAATAAGGGGTGCCCACAGGGGATAGAGTGTGCATATGGGAAGAGGAGGGGCTTCATATGCTGCCATGAAAGCCAGGGCCACCACCTAACAGGCCAGCAATTAGCGGTCCACTTTCATGCCATCTGAACAAAGTATTTGACATCTACAATAAGGTTTTATGCCAAACTGCAAGAAGGTTTAAGGAAAAACTTTCAAGGAAGTTATGGCAATGGCTCGGTGGGTGTGGGTGTGAGACATATGTGAAGGCAGGGGAGCCCGGATGTGGATCTCCAGCCCCCGCCTGGAAGGGCAGGAGTGAGTCCGTGTCCCTGTCTCTCTTGCACTGCCACACAGACACACACAGAGGTCCCAGATGCTTGGGCAGCTGGCTCTCCAAATGACGAGCTTGCGTTTCCGCCAGAGGCTGATCTCAAAGGAGTAAGCTGGGAAACCCCAGAGGGAAGCACCCGAGTCTTCCCGAGGCTTCTGCCTGTGCACATGTGGGTACAGACACACCAGAGCACACCAAAGCAC